ATCGAAACACGGAGTGGTCCGCCAATTAGTGAGGGCATATTTTGCAGCGCTCCCACGACACCTAAGACAACTTCTCCCGTCATCTGAGAGCTGATGCTGGGATGCAAAAATTGACAGGGCCGCAGGAGAGGGGGGGGGGGGGCAGGCGCGTTTTTTTGACCACTGGGGACCGTTTTTTCAGCAACCATGGCGTCTAGTGTAGGCCTGAGGAGCCGCTTTCTGACAAGGATCGCTTTGTGTTCAACCTGGGCGATGCGAGACCTAACAGAAGCGGGGACGCGGTTCTCCTTGGCGGCTGTACCCGCCAGCTCGTCCGCAGCTGTGTTCCCGAGAACCAGCCAAAGAGGATGGGGACCCGAGACAGCCTGGGCAGCGGGGATGTGCGACGGCACTTGAAGAACAACAACCTCAGAAAAATCACGACGCTCGGCAAGCTGGCCGAGCTCATGCCACAAGTCCTGATTCTCCCCCTTACTATCAAGGAAGCGTTTACTGTACCACCCTGCACTCACGGACTCGGTCACAAAAATTGTAAAGCCTACTAAACGAATCGAGAATTAATGCCATTAATTCACCCCTGGGCACCGTCTGTTTGGGGCCGTGGAGGGGGCCTCGGATCGAAACATCGACCTGGGAAGGTTCAAAGCATGAAACCGAAACGATACCTACACCTACCCTGCGCAATTGGGGATCCCTGGAGTCCTCACCCCGCTGGCGTCCCCAAAAAGGAAGTTGGGGCTCTCTTGGGATCCAAGGCCAAGGGTGTGAGGGCCGGGAATTAGAACCACTCACCCAAGACGGCTCCGAGGGAGGTGGGGGCACTTTGGTCCAACTCCCAGGGATAATCCCAAAAACAGGCGTGGGACTCGTGTTTCGTGTTGAGCCACCGCCTCAACAGTCTGACTGGTCCTGCACGGGAGCCGGGAGCCGACGTTGCAACCACGAGCCACGACCTGTGTCTGGCCACCTCCCCACATCCGGGCAGGTCGCAGGTCGAAGTCGATGCCCGTCCATGATGCGCTGCCGCGGCCACGCGGCCACCAGCAGCCACGCAGCCGGCACCCTTGGACTGTTACTTTCGCCTTTCCTGAGGATGACGCACGCCAAGAAACTCCCTATTATCAGCTCCCTCTTGGAGGCCTTCTCCACAGAAATGGCGAGCCGCACTAGCCCACTGATGCGCACGAATAGTCTTCTCAAATTCATCAACTAAGGGTGAGATGTCGTCCGACGGGCCGAGCTGATTGAAAATAAAAGCTTCGCGATCGAGCTCCCCAGCCGGCCTGGTGCCCCACTCCGATGGTGAAACTGGGTCCCACCTGTATGCAGCAGGTAGGTCACCAGCGCCGATAGAGGCCCCCTGACGTGACGGGAGCGCATCTGCGCTGGCATCGCTGTGAGCTTGGCGACAACAGTTGGCCATGCTCGAGCGATCCCTGCATGCAGCCGAGGCTCCGACTGCCAAGCCGTCAGCCACAGCCGAACCGTGTTGACTGGGAGCCTGTACCCTGGGTCCATGTCGGGGCACCTCAAGTCGAGCACAGCCGTGAGGCAACGGCCACGACGAGACGAACTTGCAACCTGCCCCAGCTTCCTCCTCATACTCATCATACTCGAACCAAAGACACCAAGCACCTCGTGACCATAATGTCCAGCTGGCTGTGCTCCACATTGCTCAAGCCGAACTGCTGGACGGTACCTCCTGGATGCTCGCGCGAAGCGAACGATCTTGGAGGACATGGTGCCTTCCTTGGCCACTCGCTTGCGGGCTGTGGCTCGGGCTTGGCGGCCCGCGCCCATGTCGAGGCCTAAATAGGCCGTCTGCAGGACAGGGATCACCTCTATGCCCTTCACCTTTAGCCTAGAAGAAATATACTTGGCGTCCTGGAGTTTGGAACGCAACACGACGCTCTTCGCAGCAACCTTCAGGCCGCCCTTGTCAAGCAGCTGGGCTGTCTGGTGCAGCACCTGAGCCATGACCTTCCGAATGGTCCGCCTTGAACTGGCCAGTGACTGCGACAGGTCGTCGATCCACAGCCGCATGTCGACCAGGGGGTGCCTCTGAGACATCTGGTCGAGCACGAAGTACGTCATGCAGCGGGCGAATCGAGCCCCGCTGCGCAATCCTTGGATAACGCTCCTCGCGGGCTGGAACGCTTCCGAAAAACAATCACGCGCTGCCAAAGTGCGTGCTGCAAGGCATAATTGGAGCTCAAGATACAGTACAGCTGGAGGAAACCCTAACTCTAGGGCCTTGGATGCCAATCGGATCCAACATATACTGTCATAAAAGCTTTGTATATCAAGCAGACCATTGGCAAAGCCGATGCCGAGCAGGCTGTGCACCTCGTCGCTCAAGGCTCTAGCAAACCCCTCGCGAAGTGCAGCATTGCCTGCCACCGCGGCATCCCAAAAAGGTTGTGAGTCGGTCGACCAAGTACGAATCCATGGTTCTCTCGACTTCGACCATATCCGTGGGATCATGCCCACAAGTCCGATGATGCGATCTCCTCCAGATTTTTCTCAAGCATCCTGCCGATGGTAAGTAGCAATTGCCACGGCCAAGTCAGACAAGCCTCGGCGTCGTTGAGGAGCTGGGCTAGCTCATCCAACCCTTCGGCAGGTAGACGTTCGACGTCTAAAGGAGAAAGGCGATCAACACCTTGGCCCGCACGGGGCCGCATAGAATGAGCTGCCTCCTGGAGCATGGGCCCCGTCAGAGCTGGCAGAGCCCGAAGGTCAGCTTCAGCACGAATATCGTCCAACACTCGGAACAGTCTCTCGCCGTCGAAACTGGTACCACTGCTCCACAAATCATGCCATCGGGTGACCTTGCGGTCGATGATAGCCTTGGGATGATGAAGTACTTCACCTTGCAGCACTAGCTCCTCGACTGGGGGCGGAGGTGACTTGATAGACTTATGCAGAACAGGTAATGCCGCCTCCGATGCCATCCAAGTGCGAAACTCCTGCAGCGAAGTACGAAGCGCTTTGCCCCGAGCCCTTTTCACAGCTCGGCTTGCAACATCAATCATAGACTTGAGTTGTGGGATGTCAATCTCCATTGGTCGTGATAGCAGGCTGATCCAACTATGCCATTCCCACTTCTCAGAAAGAAACATATGTGCCGTGGTCGGGTAGTCGGTGGTGAGGCGCTGGCAAGCGTCCACGATTGCAAGACACTGCTTGGCCCCGTTCTGGCGCTCGACGTGCTTGAGCGCCCTCTCGAGGATCGTGGACACACGGCCCCACCAAGACGTCGCCTGGTCCATCAACGGTTGGGCCCGTGACTTCTCAGGCATGTGAACTTCACGCACAACAAAATGAGGTCCATCCCCTCGCCGCGGCCCACGAAAGTCCTGTCCGTGGTGACTCTTGATGGTCAGCTCAAGCGTGGACACCCATGCCGCATACCTGCCGCTGAGCGCATCGATGCGTTGTGCGCCCGCGCGGAAAGCTAGGGAGTCCCTGGCCACAGGCCAGGTGCAAGGGGCTGAAACGAAGCCAACATCTGAACGATGCTTGAGCCAAGATGAGGACGGAATGGAGAAAGTTGGGAGTGGATCAGCAGCAGCACCAGCATTACTGACAGGGGTTGCCGAGGGGTCTGGGGTATCCCTAGCACGCTCCACATCAACCTGCTGAGACTGCCCACGCTCCACGGGGAGAGAAGACGAACTAGACGAGGCCCTGGGGCCAGGGGGATCTAAATTGCCAGGCAGAACTCCAGGGCCCAGACTCCCAGGCGCGGAAGGCTCCTGGGCCCCATCACGCGCCCCAAAGTTGCCCTCGCTGGCCCAGGGGCCCTCCTCTTCGTCAGGAAAATCTAAAGGGTCGAAATCTTCAAAGGGATCTGCAAACGGGTCCTCTTCGTGACCTCGCTCGGAAATGCTACCTGCAGCATTCGGATGGGAGGGCGGCTCCTCGCCAAAATCCTGCGAGCCTATCTCGCCAGGCGGCGTCGAGCCAGGATCCCCTACCACATCCCCAAAAAGATCATCACACTCTGCACGGACCTTCTCCCGAGCAGATGCTACCTGAAAAGCTCGTTTCTTTTTTGCAGTCGAGGACTTGGAGCCAGGAGAGGGGAGGGGGGAAGGGCGGGGGACCTGGGGCAACTTAGACGGAAGCTCCAAAGAACGGGTGAGCAACTGGGCCCCCTGGCCTCGGAACCTCAGAAGAAGACCACAATGTGTTTTCCACGGCACGTCGGTGATGGCCACCAAATCGATCACGTATGGGATGAAACTTGTGCTAGCTAGCGCAAAATCACGCTCGGTGCCTGCGCCCTTAGTACTGGCCGTGCAGGTGACACTGGTATTAGAAGCTGACAACACTACGCCGTCGACTTTCGAAACGAAGCCTTGCTTGCGAATGTCCCCTGGTGCCATGTTCCAGTCAGCCAGAACTAGCCAAGGAAGTTGTAGACTACGAAGCAGCCCTCCAAGTTTAGCGAAACGTTGAGCATTGCGAGCGGACCAGCCCTCCCCCGAGAAGCCGTAGAAGCTCACTGCCACAAAAGAAAAACCCTTCATGTCCACCACCGTCGCGTGAAAGCCATCGAGCAATTGATGACCTGGAGCGAATAGCTGGGACCATGTACTAGCTAATGACGAAATACTGCGATGCCCTTGCGCCAGCGTCCATTCACCTCCCTCATTGGAGCGATGTTCAAAGCCGGCTTGGACAGGGAGTCCGTTAGGGCGAGCTGGGTTGCCAAGGAGTCTCAGGCCCGCCTGGCGAGCCTTCTTCTGCCACTCGGCCATGCCGTTGGAGTCGATATGCGTCTCCACCAGCTGCACGTAATTGAAAACTGGATGCTGATCAGAGACAATGTAGTCCCAAGCTTTTGGTCCTGCAACAGTGATGTTAGCAAAGAACATAGAACATACATTGGCCTCGTCCCCAGCCGACGCAGAGTCGGCAGCGCCCTCAGCCGAGGCAGGCGCCGCTGTGCCAGTCGACGGACTCGGCGGGGCGGCGCGCCTCGGCTGCTGGCCTCACTGGGGCCCGCCGCCCACTGCGGCAGCCCCTGGGCCGTCAGCCATGGCTGCCGCACGGGCGGCCTTGGCCGCCTCCATCTTCGCCGCGGAGATGCGCGCCGCAACCTCCTCGATCCTCTTCTGCTTGTCCTCCTCGGACTCCGCGGGCGCCGTCGCCTCGGCGGCAGGGCCGCTGGGCGTCGCGCCCTGGTCCTGGCCCTGCTGGGGCGGAGCCGCCGCGGGAGCCCCGCTGGAGCCCTTCCTCTTCTTGGCCATCCTCTCGGTGATGGCCGCCTTGAGCTCGGCGGTGCGAGCCTGCCAGTCCTTCACCTCCGTGTGCTTGCCCTCCACGAGCTGCTGGGCCTCGCGGAGCTGCCGCTCGAGGTCCCTGAGCTTGGCAAGCTCGTCGCCCTCCAAGTCGAGCTTCTCGAGCTCCTGGAAGAACTGGTCGTCTATGTCGAGCTTGAACAGCACCTTCTGCTCAGGCGCCGCTGGCGTGGCAGCGGGCTGGGTCAGGCCCATCTGCTTGGCCAAGGTGGCCGCCGCCGCCCTCTTCGCCTCCTCGGCGCGGGCGAGAATGAGCGACGTCTCCCGTTCCTTGGCCTCCGCCTTCTCTAAGTTCTCGCGTGCTTTGAGAACGCCCTGAACTGCTTGGTCATGGCGAACCGTAGCATCTTTCCAAGCCCCCGAGGCATGCTTGATCTGCTCCTCGGGGGACATCGTGGGGCGGAGAGCCTCGCGCTTCTTCTGCAGCTCGTCGGTGAGGAGCTTCCTGAGGAGCGGGTCAGTCGTAGCAGTCAGAGTCTGCTCCATCAGCGAGATCTCATCTACCACTTTGCTGCCCTTGCCCCCGTCGGTGCTCGGCTTGGTTGCTCCGTTCACGACGCTGAGCTGCAAGGCCTGCGAGGTCTGGTCACCCCCCTTGGTCTTCGGCTGGTACAGCTTCACCTGCCGCCCGCAGCGGCAGCGCCTGTCGTGCTGCAGGAGGACATGGTTGTATTCATCCCTTCCGCAGCCCTTGCACTTGGACCAAGGTTGAGACATCTCGATCTTAGCCAGACCGATCTTCCGCCTCACAATCAGACTGAAAGAGAATATGATGGGAAGCGGGCGACGACCTGCCCCTCAAGTCCCCACGTGGCGGGGTCGAGGCCTGGGGCACCTGCCAAAATGGTTCGGGCCCAGGTGGCTTGAGAGGAGGAGGAGGAGGAGGAGGAGGAGGAGGAGGAGGAGAGAGGAAGAGGAGGAGGAGGGAGGAGGAGGAGGAGGAGGAGGAGGAGGAGGAGGAGGAGGAGGAGGAGGAGGAGGACGAGGAGCAGTCCAAGAGAAGAGAAGAGATGGACCCGACTCTGGACGGGGCGGTCCCCCCCCCCGGACCTCGCATCAGCGACCAGCTTGTCCGGAGCGCTGTGGAAGTGGCCGACACTGGGCTCGGCGAAGGAATCCTGGAGGATGTCCCAGAAAGCCAACACAGACGACACAGAGGCAGCTGTCCTCGTTTCGCGCCTCGCGCTCCGCGCTCCACGAACAACGTCGCGCTCTCGCACCGCCCAGCCAGGGGGGAGGAGACGAGGAGGACGAGGAAGATTAGAAGCCTCATAGATGGGGTCGGAGTAGATGTGGTCGGAGGATCGCGGCGCATCGCCAGTACATCGGCGATGCATCGGCGATGCGTCGGCGTTCCATCTTCATAGGTCCCCCCACTTATTTCATTGCGGGAAGTGGCCCACTAGAAGACAACAGTCTGAGAATCTTCAATCGTGCCCCAACACCATTTCTGGCACTCTAGCGCCGCGGATCAACGTAACCATCTTGTGTCCAGACACGTCTAAATCTTGCCAAGACACAATCACTGGCACGTCAACACGACAATCCTAAGTCGCGCGAGAACACCATCACTGGGATTTCAACCATACGGACCCGTAAAACTCTCGCAAGCGTTTGGGACGATGTGCGCGGCGCTAAGGCGAGAGCAACATGTTGAAAAGAAAACACCCTCCATGCTTGAATATGTTGCGAACTTTTGAAACGAATGTGCGCGGGGCTAAAGCGAGAGCCGCCTTTTGAAAACCACATGTCGTTCATCCTTGAAGCTGCTGCAATCACGTAAACCGAGTATGCGCGGCGCTGAGGCGAGAACCATCTTCTAAAAGGGCCTCCTCCACATCCGTGAAACTGCTGCAACGTTTGCAACTTTCAAGCATCAGGATAATGGTGAGGATATCTCTGGCGAAAAGCCCCGCCCGCCTTGCCGACGCGTCTGGAGGTGCGACAGGGAGGAGACATTCAGAAAGAAAAAGGATGGAGAAGGATGAGGAGGAGGAGGAGGAGGAGGAGGAGGAGGAGGAGGAGGAGGAGAAGAAGGAGTGACCCAGCCACGCGCGAGGGGACGGACAATCAAGAGCAGGGGACGCGAAGGCACCGGTCCAAGAGGTAGCAGGACGTGCGCTGCACCTCGAGGAGAAAAAAAAAGAGGAGGAAAAGGAGGGGGAAGGAGGAGGGAAGGAGGGAAAAGAGGGGGAAGGAGGAGGGAAGGAGGGGGAGGACGAGGGAGGAGGAAGAAAGGGGGAGGAGGAAGGAGGGAGCAGGGGAAAATTGGGGGGGAGGAGGAGCAGTCCCCCCACGAGTCCTTGACGCTGCAGTGCGACATCCGACCCGGCGGCGCGACGGACACGTCGGCGCTGGGCCGCCCCGACGGCGTCTCGGCGCCCTCGCCGGACCGCAGGCTCGCCAGGCTGTCCACCCTCGGCGCGGGGCACGGGGCGGGCGGCTCCTCGGGCGCATTCGCAGTGCCTTCGGTTCCTCGTCCTCGTCCTCGTCGTCCTCGTCGTCCTCGTCCTCCTCCTCCTCCTCCTCCTCCTCCTCCTCCTCCTCCTCCTCCTCATGCTCCTCCTTCCTCTCCTCCTTCTCCTCCTCCTCCTCCTCCTCCTCTCACCCGCCTCCCTCCTCCTCCTTTTCCTTCTCCTCCTCCTCATCCTTTTCCTCCTCCTCCTCCTCCTTCCTCCTCCTCCTCCTCCTCCTCCTCCTCCTCCTCCCCCCCTCCTCCTCCTCCTCCCCTCCTCCTCCTCCTCCTCCTCCTTCTCCTCCTCCTCGTCCACCTCCTCCTCCTCCTCATGCTCCTCCTCCTCCTCCCTCCTCCTCTCTTTCTCCTCCTCCTCCCTCCTTTCCTTTCCTTTCCTTTCCTTTCCTTTCCTTTCCTTTCCTTTCCTTTCCTTTCCTTTCCTCATCCTCCTCCTCCTCTTCCTCCTCCTACTCCTCCGCCTCCCCCTCCTCCCTCTCCCTCCCTCCTTCTCCTCCTCCTCCTCCTCCTCCTCCTCCTCATCATCATCCTCATCTCATCCTCATCCTCATCATCCTCATCCTCATCATCCTCATCATCCTCATCATCCTCATCATCCTCATCATCCTCATCATCATCCTCATCATCCTCATCATCCTCATCATCATCATCATCATCATCATCATCATCATCATCATCATCATCATCATCATCATTCTCCTCTTCCTCCTCCTACTCCCACCCACACACATCTACCCACCAACCTTCCCACCCACCCACATACCCACTTACCCACCCACCTTCCCACCCACCCACCGACCCATCCACCCACCCCCTTTTCCTTCTCCTACCCCTCCTCCACCTCCTCCTCCTTTTCTTTTTCCTCCTCCTATTCCAGCTCCACCTCCAGCTCCAGCTCCTCCTCCTGCTGCTGCTGCTGCTGCTCCTCCTCCTCCTCGTCCTCCTCCTCCTCCTCCTCCTCCACCTCCTCCTCCACCTCCTCCTCCTCCTGCTTCTCCTCCTCCACTCTTCCGCCCCCTCCCCCATCTTTCATCCCCCTCCTCCTCCTCTTCCTCCTCCTCCTCCTCCCTATCCTCCTCCTACTTTTCCTCCTCCTCCTCCTTCTCCTCCCCCTCCTCCTCTTCCATTCGCCGCGCGGTCTAGGCGCCCGGCGGATCGCCCTTGAACGAGGCTGGAGAAAACGAGTGCGTAATGTCCATGTGACGATGGTACTCCTGGAGGGCAACAAGATACACGGAGGTTAAGTCCATAGTACGTCCATACGGAGGCCGAACACTCCGTGCGGTCTTGCTCCACATGGCCTTAGCATCTCCCGGAAAAATAACCACCCTCGTAGCACGGCCAGGAGCTGTTGCTCAGCGTGCCACGGCGGCGGGCCCTGCGCCTTGCGCGCCGATGTGGCGCGTCGCTCTGACTCGTGGGGCGGGATGCTGTCCTCCTTGGGAAAGGCTCGGGGCGTTAATGCTTGGGGACTGGGACGTACTCAACGCTTCGCGCCGGAGCGTGGCGGGCCAGAGCCGGCGGCGTGACACGCGGGGCAGGCGCTCCTGGCCGTACGCACCCCTGCATGCGAAGCCCTCCAGCAGGCGCAACTACGGAGGAGGGCACTCGAACGGGGCAGGACCGCCCCGTGTCAACGCTGAAGGCTGGTCAGCAAACGGCGGTTATGGGGGTCGGGGTGGTTCGTCCTCCCCTGGACTCCTGCACTTCTCTGGTGAGGTCATCGAGCTGCTGCGCGATCATGTGCTTCAGCTCGATCATGTGCCTCACGGTGCTGCTGTTGGTTCCGCGCAGCTGCAGGATGATCTCCATGAACTCCTCGAAGCTCAGGTCCGCCTCCTGTCCCACCTCGTTCGAGAAGATGAGGTCGGCGAAATCGATGACGCCGATCGGATCGACGCCGATATCTGTCAGAGCCTGCGCCGCCGACGGGTTCACCAAGATGTCCAGGAACTCTCTTTTTGACAACCGAAAATCATCGTTCTGATCAAGATTTTTGATCACCAATGCCAACTTCTCCTCCGCAAGGATGGTCAGCATCCGGTCTTTCTCCTGATGAAGACGGTGGGAGAAGGAGGGCGACGAGGAGGACGGCCGGACGTTTTCCTCTGCAAGCCAGGGAGGACCGAGGGGACTACAGTCAATCCAAACTGGTTGAGGCCGTGCGCTGGGCAGCCTCAACGTGCCTGGATACGGAACAGCAGGGCCAGCATCCCAAGCGTCTGGACCAAACCCTCCAATCCCTGAGCTGGCATGGCAATTTCAGGAGGGGCGGCACACCGCAAAAAAAAACATGCCCTTCTACGAAGGCGTCGACACGCGGATCGCTTCGTCTCTGTAATGGAAAAGTCAAAGCGCCGAGTGGTAGCCTTGCCCCCTGCAGATGTTTTGTACTGCAAGGGAAGACTTGTAGGAACTCATGAGGAGGGGACTCGGGACGGGAGGATGTGATGCGGCATCGTTGATGCATCTTGGGTTCACTCTGATCCTCCTCCTCCTCCTACTCCTCGTCCTCCTCCTCCTCTTCCTCCTCCTCACCTTCCTCCCTGTCTCCTGGTGCGCCACTAAGCTCACCATCTCACAAAGCACGCCGATCAGCATGTTGAGCACCGTGAGGGCGGCGAGAGCTATGTATATGAAGAAGACCCCCAGGCCGACGACGCTGGACTCGAGAGGAGCAGGCAATAACGAGGACACATTCGAAAAAAATGATGGGGGGAAGAGGAGAAGGATGAGGCGGAGAGAAGCAAGAGGAGAAGCGAGGAGGTTGAGGAGGAGGAAGAAAAGGGGGATGAGGAGGAGAAGGAGGAGGAACGAGGACGAGAAGCAAAAATTTCACGTCTGGAAGATAGAGGCCAGTGAAGCAGGACCGACCGGTGGCCCCGGTTCGAATCGAAACCATATCTGGGAGGGAGCGATTTGCGAATCCGCATAAAGAGATGTGTAATGGACCTTGACCAGCGACCGGTCGTTAAACCTATCAGACCCACGCGCGCTCACAAGAAAGCCTGGGATCTGGGACGAAGTACCCCCCACACGCCAAGCAAAAACCATACGCAATCTCGGTTCAGCAAGCACGCGACGGGCGCATCGGATTGCCAAGACAACCTCCGCATCGCCAATACATCGGCGATGCATCGGCTATGCATCGCCGACGTTGGCGACGCAGCGGCGACGTCGGCGTGGAGAAAATCGGGCTCCGCATCGAGCCGCATCGCCGATACATCGGCGATGCGGCGCGATCCTCCGACCCCATCTACTCCGATCCCATCTAGGAAGCCTAGACTTTGGACGCCCGAAATGGGGACGGAACAAATGGGTACAATGCCCAACAACAAATGCTGTCCCAAAACGACAGCGGCCGCCGTTGGGCAGGCGGCCTCCTGTCTCGAACGGACACAGGCCGCTGCGGCGCGGACAGCGAGTCCCGTTCAGAATGAACAGGAACTGCTGTTGGGCATCGCATCCATTCTTTCCGTACCCCTCTCGCGCGTGCAAATAGGCTGGTGGACCCCCGTCGGGGGCTGCCGGGCGCGGGGCGCTGAAGCGGGCGAGGGCGCCCGTGCAAGCCTCGCCGACGAGCCTGCCGCACAGGCCGCGCTTCAGACCTCGGGCCGTGGGGCGGAACCTGCGGGTGGACGCGGCCGCCGCGGCACCTGTCCTCGCAGCCCGTCTGACCGAGGGTACTCCGGATTCCATGATAGAAGTGTGGGGGGTCACATTTGGGGGGGGTCTGATTTGACCTGTCTTGGAGGGTTCGGGGGGGTCTGGGCAAAGGGCCGCCCTTCCATGGATGGTTCGGGGGGGTCTAAGACTTCTCGTCTGGGAGGGTTGTGACCCCCTCTTTTATCACGAAAACTGGAGTAGCTCTCTCATTCGGACGCCCGAAATGGGCACGGAAGCAATGGGCACAATGCCCAACAACAAATGATGTCCCGAGCCAACAGCGGCCGCTGTTTGGCAGGCAGCCTTCTGTTTCAAGTGGACACGATCCGCGGCGACGCCGACAGCGGATCCGGTTCAAAAGGAACCAGAACTGCTGTCGGTCTCTGTGCCCATTCTTTCCGTTGGGCGCCCGAGTTATCCGGGGTAACTCGGGTCCGGGGTAACTCGGGTTTGGATTCCCGAACAACGAACCCGAGTTAGCCCTGACCCGAATTACCCCTGATGAATTGGGGCTCTGGGCGCCCGAATTATCCGGGGTAGCTCGGGCCCGGGGTAACTCGGGTTCGGAATCCCGAAACGCGAACCCGAGTTAGCCCTAACCCGAGTTACCCCTGATGAATTGGGGCTCTGGGCGCCCGAATTATCCGGGGTAGCTCGGGCCCGGGGTAACTCGGGTTCGGAATCCCGAAAAGCGAACCCGAGATAGCTCTGACCCGAATTGCCCCTGATGAATTGGGGCTCCGGGCGCCCGAATCATCCGGGATAGCTCGGGCCCGGGGTAACTCGGGTTTGGAATCCCGAGAAGCGAACCCAAGATAGCCCTGACCCGAGCTACCCCTGATGATTCGGGGCTCTGATTCCGTACCCATGCCGGCCGTCCCGCCCCATGATGATCCGCGGCGACGCCGACAGCGGATCCGGTTCAAAAGGAACCAGAACTGCTGTCGGTCTTTGCACCCATTCTCTCCGTACCCACGTCGGCCGCCCCGATCTCAGGCGCGACCTCTCTCGCTCGGGCGCTCCGGGGCCGGCGGCGGCAGCCGGGCGCAAACGTGCCCTCCCGCGGCGAGCCGACTCGGCCTTGGAGGCGCGAGCAAGGGCTCTCGGGCGAGCTGCGGGATCGATCTGCCTTGAGCTGGCCCCCGCGTCAGCCAAACCGTCGGCTACAGCGAGACGAGATCAAGGGCTCTCGGGCGAACTGCGGGATCGATCTGGCTTGAGCTGGCCCCCGCCTCAGCCAAACCGTCGGCTACAGCGTTGCTGAGCGTGGCGTCAGGCGGGACCGAGGTCGCTAAGCGAGCAAATCTCGAGCCATCGCCAGCCACATGCGACGGAGCACGCATCGCCTCAAAAGACCCCGTCCTGGGATGCAACAGCGCGAAAAGTTCATGGTAGAGGTCAGCGCGCTCCAACTTAGAACAATGATGCTTGATATTTGCCAGGGCACGGGCGCGATTGATTTGATTGCACCATACTGGCAAATCCGAGGAAGGGCTCACAAGCATAATGCGCTCCACGATCGCTAACAACTCGGCCCTCGGCACAGACTGCTTAAGGTTGTCGACCACTCCTGGGCCTGCAGAATCCCGGCTTGAGCCGTCCAGGCTATCCTCAAGATGCATACAGGCCCGGGACGCTCGCCGAAGCAAGGGGCTCCTAGACTCGCTTCCAGACCCGTCCGCCCCAACGCTGCCTCCAGGAATTCAGGCTCCAGCGTGCCTGACCTAGTCCAGGGCCCTGGCCCCAAGGGGCGGGGGGGGGGGCGGAGCCCCAACCAGGACAGGGGAACGCGGCCTCGGCACCAAAACACTGGGCAGGCGTCGATTTCCGGGAGCGCATCTGGTTTCCAAGCGGAATGGTCGGGCGTCCAACTTGGCGAGCCCATGCAGCGTCATCAGGATCACAATGGCGTCGCCAGAACACGACCACCAGTCCGACACCAGCGCCACATCTTTGGCAAACAAGGTCAAGCAAGGTCTGTGCGGTAGTCTGCGTCGAACCGTCTGCGTTCGGTCCAGTAGCCTCTGCATGCGGCAAGACGAACCACGTTGACCTCTAAGATCTGTTTTTCTCAGACTCGATCTTCTGAACAAGGGAACCGACGTGCTGCTGCCAGGCCCCCGCCTCAGCACCAACACAAAAAAGGCTTGCACGCTCAACCCCACATCTGGCATTCAATGATGGTTTCAAGAGCACTCAAGAAGCAAGACGGGGGGCAGCGCCAGCATCCTGGAGGGCCCATTCGTCACCACCAGGCTCCACCAACCGATCAAGAGACGGGCAGCTCCAACAAACGTCGGCGAGCGAGGCCTCAAAAGTGGCCATTTGTTCCCGCGCGAGCTTCCAAGCTGTTTTGACTCGCTCGAGCAAAACCGACCACTTGGAGGCAATGCGGGCGGCCAGCTCCACGGCCGTGCCTCAGCCAACCTCCTGGCGGGCGCTGGCCGGGTCGCGGCAAACGTTTAGACTTGCGCGAGCAGGTGTCGCTGCCGAGGGGTGGAGGCGGGCGCGCGGGTGGGGGGGCCCAGGCCGGCCCCGAGGGGGGCTACGGGGGGGGCCAGGTCAGCGCGCGAGGGGCCCAGGGCCTAAGCGCGCCCCAAGACGAGCGAAACGCGCCCCAAGAGGCCCCCACGACGGTCCAAGAGGGTCCCGCGTCGCCGAACGATCGGTCCAAGACTCCCAAGATAGTCTCCGAACGGGGTCTCACCGACGCCCCAATGACCTCCAAGAGCACGCCCAAGAGGGCCCCAATAGCCAACCTGCATTGGTTGTCCGTTGGTTTTCAAGCGGCCCCAAAGATCGCCCCAAGCTGGCCCGCGTTGCCAGTGGGTCTCCAAGAGGGCCCCAAAATGACCCAAGACGGCCCGAAGTGCCTCCCAACCAGCGCAGTAGGGTCCAAAGATGGCCCCAAGTGGGCAGAATGGAAATTTCGAGCCTTCGGCCCCGAGAGTGCCCCAGGAATTCCCGAGCCCCACGAGGCGGCTCCAAGAGGCCCCCACGAAGCCCCCAGGAGGCCACGAAGAAACCCCCAAGCGGCCCCCCAGTAGGCCCCAAAGCTGCGCCCCAGAGGCCCCCGAGAACGCTCCGAAGAGACCCCGAAGAGCACGCCTGAGGACTCTGACCACGTCAGCGTCGCCGCCGCCGCCGCCGCCGTCGTCGCCCCACTTCCAGATTGGAGGTGCTGGCCGTGAGGCAATCGCAATGGCCGCCGTTGCGCGCGCGCCTCTCTGCGGGCGCTTGCCGCTCAAACAACAGGCCTGCCCTCGCAAATGAATTATCGCTGATGGGGTCAGCCCGTGGACCTCTGGGGCCCAGGCCGCCTTCAGAAACGCACTCAGGAGATGCAAATAGATGGCCTTGGCAGAAGCCCCAACGAGCCCCGAGATCTCGAGGGCCGCTCGACGCCCCCGTGGCAGTGTCATGGCCTTGTGACTAGCATCGCGCGTCTGGCCACATTGAAAGACTTGCTCGCGCGCCACCCTCGCCCGCCCCTCCGACTGGCGCGCGACGGAGACAGAAGAGGCCATCGAGCAGCCGCTCGAAAAAAAAAAAACGAACGCACATCCCCCCGCGTAGGCCCAAGAGGAGGGCTCGCAGCATGGCGGGGATCAGCGGCGCCGATGGAAAACTGCGAGACCGGCAACCTAATGCCCATGTAAAATCCGCACAGCCATTCCCTGAGGCGGAGTCCTGGGGCGAACCTGGCCGGCAGCCTCCAGCGCTCGCACGGGCGAAGCCCGGCCTGAAGCGCCGCCCGGCCGCGGCCCGCCAGGGCACCCCCCGCGGGGCGAAGGCTGGCAGCGGCTCGCACGGGCGAAGCCCGTGCCTGAAGCGCCGCCCGGCCGCGGCCCGCGAGGGCCCCACCCGCGGGGCGAAGGCTGGCAGCGGCTCGCGCGGGCGAAGCCCGTGCCTGAAGCGCCGCCCGGCCGCGGCCCGCGAGGGCCCCCCCCGCGGGGCGAAGGCTGGGCTGGACGCGCCGCCGCAATGGCAACATCCTGGGCCCGAGCGCCCAGGGCATGCGCCGGGGGGCGAAAAGGGCAATTGAAGTCATGGGGCGCTCAGGCAAAATCCAACAGAAAACTATCGGAATCGCCAGCAACTTCCCCATGTCCAAAGGGCCCTCGGCAGCCTCGTTTCCCCCTGCAGGGCCAATGCGGTCTCGAGCTCGTCGAGCCAACTTGCGCGCTCCGCGGGCGATCGAACCGTTTCGTCCAGGGGCCCGTGGGTTTCGCGCCCCCGGGCCCCAATGGCTGGCCCGTGTGTGCTGCGCGGGAGAACGCAGCAACAAATGACGAGGCGGGCCCAAGGTCACAATGATCTGCGCCCGGCAACGCAATCGCATTAAAAGGCCTGTCTGGAAAGACGCCGCGGCCACGCGCTGCGTCGAGGTGCGAAGACTAGCTGGAGCCGAGAGCGAGTCGCCAGGCGCGCCCTTGCCCAAACGGGGTGGCGCGCCATCAGCTCCCTTGCCGCGTTGGCACGGCATCGACTGCAATGCTTCCTGAGCTGAGAGACTGAGATCGGCCCCGACTCTGGCGGCCCCCGGAAGCCGCCCTCCACGTGGCCAGCGCTTCGCGAGCGCACGGCTTAGAGTGCTCACTCCAAGCGGCACCCCATGCCTCCAGCTCGACATTCGCGAGATCACAGGCCGCGGTTTTCAGGTGCCCCTTAGATATCGGATCTGGCTCGGGGGCCTCGGGGCCCACCTCGGGCTCGAGCGGCCTGCGGGCCGCGCGGGCAAACCCCGCGATGGCGCGCGAGGGCCAAACCGCCACCTGGATGGAGCCTTAGGAGCGGCCCTTCGACCAGATGCGCCGGCGCGAGACTGGGCGCCCCCGCGCGGCCGCCGAAGACTCTCGGCCGACGCGGGGGCGAGCTGGCCCGGCCGGGAAGCCGACGCCCCAGGGCGGCCGTCTCTCTCGCGCCCCTGGGATCCAGAGTCCCGGGGGGCGCAGGCGGAGCCGGCCCCTTTAACACGGTCCAGAACTGGGAGTGGTGCCCCCGCAGGGGGGGGCGGCCGCTTCGCCGGGGTCACTCTGTGGATCGCGCGAGAGCAGGATATGGGCCGGCAGGCCGAGACGGCCGCTCAGGACCAGTCAGCCAGAGGAGGCCCCGCGGAGCTGTCGGTGGCTACATGCACGCAACGAGCGCGAGGCTGCCGGCAGCAGCCAACGTGCAGACTCCAGTCAGCTCCAAGGTTGCCCACCCCCCGCGGTGAACGAGCTCGGGCGCCGAATCCAACCCGCTAAGCTCCCGCCCCGCATCAAACGCAACTTGAGAGGGTCATGCTGAGAGAGGGCCGCCCGGGCAGCATTAAATCTTGACCTGGGGCGACTCGGTACCTCAATAATCAAGACGCGGGCCTGCTCGCGGATCCCCTCCCAACTGAAGTCAAGTGCGCCCTCGGGGTTCACCGCCGCGTTCAAGGCCCGCGGGGGCGCCAGCTTCCACCCGTGAGTGGACCGAGGCCTCATAGCAATCTGGCACTTGAGCGCCGCGTGGGTGGCCCGCGGGGCCGCTGGGTCCACCCGGGCGAACTTGGCCGCCAATGCAAGGCCTGAGCTGACCACTGCGAAATCGATCTTACGAGCAGTGCCCCAGCCTCCCGCGCGCGCCACCGCAGGCTGGTCGCTGCTAACCCAAGCTCCTAGACGAATCCTGTGTAGGCCAACCCGCCCATCTCCATCTGCCGCCACCTACCGTGCGAATGGGTCCGATGACCTGGGAAATACGGGCACCGATGTCGGATGGCAGCCTCGGGCTGCGGGAGATGCGCGTCTACCGAGCATGACGCATTAAAAGGGTGACGCAACCGCGGCGATCACATGCCTCAAACGCAGGGGTGGCGAGTCACCGCCGAGCGGAACTGCGCGACGGGCCGACCTCCAGCAGCCTCCAGTAGGAGATGCGACAGACGCGACTGCTTCTTTGCTGACCTGCGGACCCCGGAACTAGAGTCATCCGCGTCCGTGGCAACAGCCTCATCATCACAGACACAGCACAAACCAAGCTTGCGAACAGCCTTGGTCATGTCTCGAAATTTGGAGCCACGAGCGCGCGTCTCCACGAACGCGACGAAGTAAGCCGTGCGATAGCTCAACCACTTCTCTGCCATGGGGGCCCAGACGCTGACGTCGCCGCTGACCAAGGAGATGCTGTTGGGAACTTCGGGCACCTTCGCGCGCAACTGCAGCAGCTCCCTCCTGCTCTCCTGCTGGCCTCCACTGAGGCCGCTCTTGCTCTGGCCGCCTCAAGGGCCGCCGACGTGCGCTTCTGAATCTCGTCGACGTCGTCATCTGGCACAGGCTGGGCCTGCGCCGCCTGCGGAGCCGCCGCCGTCGGCACGCCATCCGCGAGGGGCGCAATACCGGGGGGCCGTGCTCCCGCTGAGCCACTGCCGCCTCCGTGAGGCTGGTCAGCTGGCACAACCTCCTTGGGTGCGCTCGCGTCTGCGGTTGCCTGTCCGCTGGCTCCGATGCGCCTCTTGTTCGCCAGCATCCCGGGCACTGGATTGCCCAGCAGAGCATCCATGTGGACAGCCGAGCTCTTCTTAGTGACGGACTCCGGGACCAGACCACTTGCGAACACCGTTTGTGCATGACGCCTGGTAGCCTCCTCAAAACCTTTCTGGGTCTGCTTCTCCTTCTGGAAACACTCATGGACCGTCGCCTGTGCCTCCGCCAAGTACTGTTCTACCTTGATGCGTGAAATGCATTGTCAAAAGCCTGCGTGGCCCAGCGCTTCGCCGCCTCCGCTGCATTGATCTCGCCCTCTGGAAGCTAGGAAACCGAAGAACTCTTGAGTGTAAACTAGGAACCCCATCACCCTGCGCGGCAGCCTTGCCGGGGGAAAGCAGACTGGCAGCTTTCCTGTTTGCGGCAATGCGGCGGACATCATCAGGAAATGTGGTCGAACCTACTCCGACCAAACTGTCACTGAGTGCAGGCCAGCCTGCAGCTCCGAGGTCACCAGGGAACATATACTTGCCACACCCCACAGACTTTCAACGACGCGGGAGAAGACGATCGGAACTCTAACGTCCGCAACAACACACGGTGCAATATCGATGTTCCTGGGGTTGCCTGCTTTGTTGCTGGCACGCGCCATCTTCCGATTATCATCCGGCCAACTCTTCCAGTCCGACTTGGCTCTGCAATCCTTGGACCATGGCGGCGGCGCTGGCACCGTCGCGAGCTCAGAGAGGAGTGGAAAGGGGCTCTAGCTGCAGCGGTGGTTGCAGGGAACAAGTCCCCTGAAAAGATATTGGGAACTGCCGCGGCCCAGCGGTATCCACTTGTTCCCCTGCGGAACCTACTAATTACGGAGGAGGAGGAGGAGGAGGAGGAGGAAGGGGGTGGAAGGGGGTGGAACAGAAGGGGAGGGAGGCGGCAGGGGTAGAGGAAGATGAGCGATGAGCGATGAGCGATGAGGAGGAGCAGCAGCAGCAGCAGCAGCAGCGGCGGCAGGGGCCGGGAGCAGAGGACAGCGGCGCCGGCGCCGCGGAAGCATCAGGAGTGGAGCACATGACAAACAGCGTCTCCAATTTCATCCAACTCTCGTCGTGGGCAGCCAGTTTGAGACAATCGATGCTGTTCGCGTCGTAGCTATTCGGGGAGCGGTGGTGGTTGGGTTGGGGCGCTTTGGTGGGTGATGAAGAAGAGGAGTGGCCGCGGAGCGCAAACAATCAAGCGTGTTTGGACGGGTTTTTGCGCAGAGCGTTCCGACCCAGTTGTTTGGGAGCGAGCCTGTCATCGAGACACAGTAAGCGTGGCAGGATTGTGCCTGAGCTGCCAGAGAGTGGGGAAGGAGGAGGGGGAGGAGGAGGGTGACGACGACGAGGGCACCGACCTCCTCCAGCTTGGCACACACGAAAACGAGATTGTCCAGCAACGTGCCGTACAGCAGAAGCGAGTACATTGCCTCAGAAACACGCCTCTCCCCCGACACAGGCTTCTTCGAAGCCCAATCCAGCCGGCACAACCCATCGAAGCGCGGAGCGCTCCATCGACCAAAGTTCCAATCGACCTTCGCGACAATAGTCAACCCATCATGACGCGCGAGCTCAATGGCCGAGCGAGCGGACCGCTGATCGTGGCCCTGGTCAATTTGTCTGTTCTCATCATTGTCATCGTCATCACCACCACCAGCATCACCATAGTCGTCATCATCATCATCATCATCATCATCATCATCATCATCATCAGCAGCATGCTCGTCCTCGTCCTCATCCTTATACTCATCGTCACCATTATCCTCATCCTCATCCTCATCCTCATCCTCCCATCCTCATCCTCCTCCTCCTCCTCATCCCCCTCCTGCTCCTCCTCGTCCTCCTCCTGCGTCGTATCTTCTCGCATTTATACGCATGTTTCCCCTACTGCTCATCATTACTATCCATACACATCCACACAACTGTGTATATATGTGTATATACATATATGTATATATATGTATACATATATATGCCCATCTCCTCCTTACACGTACGCCCATGCAATTCTCTTCCTCCTCCTCCTCCTCCTCCTCCTCCTCGTCATCATCGTCGTCAACAT